TCTTCCCCTCAGGGAAGCATTTCAGCCTCTGCAGCCAACAGCTTCACCCAGTGCAGGCTGACTCCTGTGCCTCCGGACACAAGGAGGTGGCATGGTGGCCTTTGAGCTCCCACAGTGCCAACTGTCTTGGAGCAGCCAGAGGGGCTCATCATCCAAGCTGCTAGCTGCTTTTTCAACTGTAAGCCACTGGGATTAAAAGTTCACCTTGTTTTTTCTCTCCTGGGAAAGCGGCTGCAACAAGAGTCACTTTCAACATCCCCACTTGGCAAAGAGATAGGAAAGGCAGGCTGAAAATAAAAAATAAAAAGTCAACAATTCCCTCCATCCCAAAAGAAGCAGGGGGAGGCAGCGTAAGGAGATGAAGCGTTCAGGAGGTGGGGATCACATTCGCATGACCTCTTCTACCCCCTGAACTACTCCACCGCTCCCTGCTGTTGAGCTTTATTTTGGATGGGTCAGACAACCACAGAGACAGCATCTGTGGCTTGGAAAGTCCTGCCATAAGGCTGCACATAGGGGTTTTTTCTACTCTTTTTTTTTTTTTTTTTTTTTTTTTTTTTTCCTGGATTAGGCCCTGGAATAGCAAAAAAGAAAAAAAAAATCTTGATAAATAGGAAGAAATGTTAACTGCTCGTTTCTGTCACCTCCAGCTGAGTAAAAAAATATTAGGATTCATTAACACCTACAAAAATAGCGTCCCTCTGTGTTCCCCACTACCTAGCTATCCCTGGTCAGCATGCTCTTGCACTGAACTGTGAAAGGTTTTAGCGAGGAGTGGGTACCCCACTATCCTTACTATCCTAATAGTAAGTGCACTGTTGTGACATGATGGGATTTGTGCGTGTTAACCTGCTTTCATTTCTTTCTTTCCCCTGGGTAATGTGGTGCTACCAATGTGAGTTATTTCTCCCCTTAGAAATGTAAGGTTTATGTGAGCATTTACAGAAATGCTTGTGCTGTTGTGCTTGGTGGGGCAGTGGGAAGGGAGGAGAGGCCCAGCAGTCTGGTGTGGCAGGAGGAGGAGATTTCACCACAAAGGGAGGAGGCAGGGTAGTTCCACCCTTAGAAAACAACCATAATCACCTTCTCCTTCTTGGAAACAACATCACTGTGGTCGGGGGGTGTCCCAGATGTCTGCAATACTTGAGAGTTAAACTCCAAACCATCCCAAACCTTTCCTTGCCTTACAAGAGCCTCATCAAAAGGAGGAATGAGGCCTTGAAGCCATATCATTGGCACTGGTGAGAGTTGTGTAATTCAGACATGTCCTGCTCTGAGAAGCCTTCTTTGTCCACACCATTTCTAAGCCCAAACTTCCTCCCATACCCACTTCCTCATCTTTGGGGCAGCACAGGGAGGAGCTAGGCTAGCCTGGTTTCCATATATCGCTGCATCAGCATGCGTGCTGTTTGCCTTCAAGTGCTCATGCTTTTGTGGCCCCTAAAGGGATTATTTCCCCTCCCTCAGAAAACTCAGCTCGACATGTTCCCATTTCTGCAGTCCCTGCTGCATTTCCAGGCAGCCTCTGAGCAACCTCTGGAGGGAGTGGGAGCCACGTGCCTTCAGCAGCGCTGGCTGCTTCACCTGGCACCAGACTCCTCCATTCAGGAAGGTGACGTGCATGTCTTTTAAAAACTCCGAGTTCACTGTCCAGCTGGGTTGGCATTTCCAGTGAAACACCAGAGGTTGCTTTTGGGGCCAAAATGCAACCAAGCAGTTCGAGCTCCTGCCTGACAGGTCGGAAATGTTCTGCCTGCTATTCCAGCTGGTGTTCCCTCTTGGCCCTGTGTCCTGACTGGTATGAGAAGGTGATATAGGGAAAAGCCTATATTGCAAGAAGCAAGAACCAAGTTTTGTTATACAGACCCTTGATAAAAGGTCATTTTGAAAGGAGTCCTCTCCTGTCTGCTGGCTGGCACTGTAGAAATCCCAGCACTGTTCATGTACAGCCTGCTGGAGTGGGCTGCAATAACAGCAGCAGCGGGATTTTTGTTTCAGGAGCCATGGTGTAAGAAGAGCTGTGTTAATATATTGTGACTGGAGTAGTCCCTGTATGCCCCGTTGACATGAGACATGGTAGGAGGACCGTGATTCAAGTGCTTTTGACTCCATCGTTTGGAAGTGGGAGGCCTTGTTTGGAGCAAAACGTGCTCTGAGGGGGAGATGGCTAAAGCACAACTGGTTTGTAAAAACTATGGTTTGTGGTGAGTCACTGCTGGCAGCTGGGAACATGTGTTGGTCAGCACTTGGCAGGCAAAACCTTAACCAAACTGCTTTCCTAGAGTTCAGCTGGAGAGTTTATTATTAGCTGCCTTGTTGCTGGAGCCTGTAGTTTGGTTCAAGGAAGGAAGAGATCTGCAGAGAGAGGGAGGGAGAAGGGCATTTTCCAACAATTCTCATTTTGGGGAAGAAGCTTTTGAAAAGAGGACTGAATGCATGCTGCCCTGCTTCCTCTTTTTCTGAATCTTTCTGTCCCTCCTCCTCAGATAAACTAATTTCATAGAATTTTTCATGCTACTTAGTTTTTTAGTCAGCAGAAGTTAACTGGCCATATTAAGCCAAACACATTAAGCATAACACACTAACATTAAATAAAAATGAATACAGATACTGACAACTCCAAGATGCTAGGAAAATACACACCAGCATTTTTTCTTTTTTGAGCTTGGGACAAATTTGCTGCAGGGGGTCAGGGAGGTTGGGGAAAGTGCTCTTTCCATCTGACTGATGCTGTTTACTTCTCAATGGATGCTACAGATGTGTAGGGATCCTGCCAGAAGTGCAGTGCTCAGCTGCAATGCCTCCAGATTGCTGCAATGAGAAAGCACATGAGGATGCGTGTTTCTTATCACTGTTACTTCATCATCAGTCACTGCTCAGGCTGCTTTGAAGTTATCTGTTCCAGATAACAAGCTATGTCTCTCCACTGGTTTTCCTCTACCAGATTGCCACCAATGTTAACTCTTTCATCAATCAGTGTCATTGATTTGCACCACCCCACGCACACCTCACTTTAGGAAAGAACAAATGAGGAAAGGGCAAAACTTGCTTTTCCATATTACACACTTTTGGGATGCTAAATCTCAAGCATGAGAGCTCAGACTAGTTTCTAGATTGTAGGTAGCAGGATGAGACCTCTTTACAGCAGGGTTTTGACTCTTTCCTCTGAGATTCAGGCTCTGGGCATGACCACAGGCAAGGGCATTGAAGGGAATTAATGGACTCTGAGATTGCAGATCTGATCTTCCTAACTTGTGGTATTCCCAGGTAGTAGATATAGAGATCATTGTGAATTTTGTTTCTTTATGTTAATGTTTTAGAACTTAAAACCTGCACTTTACTGAATAGAGTATTTAATGTAGAAATTTCAATATGAAGTTATTAATTGCATAGTTTAAAACCACAATACAATATGGATCAGCTGAAAGCAAAGTCTCTGAACTGTCAAAGGGGATGGTCTTTAAACTGTTGTGAAGAACATTTGTAATGTTTTAGAAAACAAGCTTCGAAGAAATGAGCTGAAAGCCCTGCTGGTGAAGATGAACCTCCCAAGGAATCAAAAGATAGGGCCAGTACACTATAGATAAGTAGAAGACTAAACAGCTTGTGTGAGATAATTACCCTTGCCCTTGGCAAACACAGCCAGAATTGCAGGCTATAAGCCTGTCCTCCATAGTAGCACCCATCTGGGTCACCCCCGTGCTCTAGATCATGAGTCAGGATCCTCCCTGCCTTCACCTTCCCACTCCCCTGCCGTGGGGAGTTCCTCATGCCCCCCAGGCATCTCCAGTGTGCAACCAGGCACTGGTCCTCTGGCCTTCCCCTGTAGGCCAACAGCTGACAGGAAAGGAGTGATAAAAATTACTTGGGGGCCCCCTCAGGTAAGGTGGGTACTTTTTTAGGTATCTTCCATAGGGTATGCAGGAGATAACTGGGTCAGGATGTCCCTTCTGGGCAGTTACGACAAGCTAGCTCCTGAGCATCATTCCAGGTGTAAGAATTAAATCTGGGAATTTCTGGACCAGATATAGATGAATCATCCTGCTGCCTGGTAATGAAATCTGCTATGCTATGAAGAAGTGAGGGGAAAAAAAAGCCCTGTTTTAAAAATATTTGGAAAATATGATAATTTTTTTTTCCCCTGATGAAAAAATGGCTTGGTAGCAGCTGAACTAGATCCATTTAATAACTGTTTTCTCACTATGTATTGTTTATAGTATTTTATACAGTGAGAAGCTATATATTATTTCTCCAGCTTTGATAGAAAACAACTGGGGAGTTTTAGGAGTGTAACAATTGATAAAAGCCTTATGAATGGT